GCTCTGTGGATCACATCCTTAAAGATCTGCCAGCTCTGTTCTGTTCCCCTGTCCCTGAGGACCCATTTCCCAGGGAGTCCTTCTGGCTATCTCCTTGAGGAGCTGGAATTTTGCTTTTCTAAAATTCAGGGTCCTGACTATACTCTTTGTCATTCCCATTTCCCTCAGGACCGTGAGCTCTACCAGCGCATGATCACTGCAGCCCAGGCTGCCTCTGATCTTGACGTCTCCGATGAGCTCGCTTGCATTGGTGACCACCAGGTCCAGCAGCACATCCCCTCGGGTAGGGGTGTATAATAAATAAGTGAAATGAACTTCCAAACAGCCCACCATAATTTTTTTTTTTTTTTTTACTTGGACCTTAACACTCCTTTGGCGTTCACTTACTGAGAAATATGTTCACTCCGAAACTTGACTACACAACTTGTGCCATCCCTTCTACGCAGCATGACTTGAATTTACATAGTTCACACTGAGCAGAAGTTGCAGCACTTTGGCAAAGCATCAAGACTAACCATTCCATCTTCTAGAAGTGATGGGCCATGAGCTATGCCGTATTTTCCACTGATAGAGGGAGCTATAGCCATATATAGCTCTTTAATCCAAATTACATTAAAAGACACAGACACTGAGCTGCTGCTGAATCTCTCTTTCCCAAGGTTTTAAAGAGACTTTGCGTAAGCTCAGTAGAACGCAGCTTAACAGAGCCAGCTACTTCAGTGGTGTCAAGTAGCAGTACACAGGCAGGTAAGTTTAACTGGATTTTCCAGAGTTGCACATGTTTTTCATGCTAAGGTTCTCCATCTGGACAAGGCACAGATTTAGATATTCTTTAATACTACGTTTAAGCCACTGAGTCTTACCTTAAGGTTCTTCCTCTGGTCCAAGTCACACACTGAAATTTAGCTAAACTGCTTTGTCTCCAAAGTTTAGTTCCTATGCTTTCCACATTTCCCTTGACAAAGAACATAATAATTAATGTAATTAATATATTATATAGATGTAAGGATACAATAATACAATAGATAAAAATG